GATTCCTGTCGGGGACTCAGAATATTTCTTTGTCCCACGCTCGTGTCATGTTGATTAATTCACCTTCACAAGATACCTTTGTTTCCACGAAAATATAAGAAAGATGTGTATTTTTTAACTCACTGCTGGAAATAAATGGAATATAAAAGTTACATTTCTGCTGAAAAGTCGAAGAGGAACGATTTTGTTTTATTCAAAACTAAATTTTCATTTCACCGATAAACAAGAACTAATCTAATTATCATATAGTCACGTCGAATCAGGGAATAGTGCGTTCTAATTCTGTTGCCAGCCGAGTTGTTGTAAACAATAAAACCACATCAAATTAATACACAATGCTATCGAGTAATACGATTAAGGAGCGTTTCAACGAGAAGTATTGAAGGCAGAGATCTTTACTTGACCGAAATTATATTCCACATCGGTGAGCGAGTCACCTCATCGACTGATGAAATCAATTGGAGGTTTCAGAGTCTGCGGCAATAATAACGAAGTTTNATACGCAGTCACAGTAACGTTCTTTGCACTAAAAAAGGAGAACTGACGTTACCTGAAATATAACTGCTATCCCTAGCCAAAACGAGAGTGTGATATCACTCATTACAAAAAATAAAAAAATGTTATGCTCTACCACAAGGGAAAGCACTCAACGTTCGTGGGTAGTCCTGTATAAAATTATCTTTCACGTGACATATAGTCGACTTTGACGCTTACTAATCTGCGTATGCGTTTGGAGCAAATTGCTTTTGTTCTTAAGAGAATGGTACCACAAGGATAGCATGAGATTTGCAAAACCATATATATATTTTTGTCATATTAAAGAGCAGAGTAACGTAAGTATGATACGTTTTGCGTAATGCACTCGGATACCTACCCCACCCAGCCCCCGTTCCGGCATAGCTAATTGATTAATTGAAATTAATTTTTTTTCAACAAACATTAAAGTTTACACCTTATGGCGTTATGGCGTTATGGAGTTGGTGCCTTATTACCTTAGGCCCGTTCCAAACGCCGTTCCATTCATGAGCCGAACCTAACTGATCAGTTAAGTACGGCAGAAAAGCGGCGTTTGAATCAGTTTGGTTCGGCAAGTTAAGTTTGGTGCGGCAAACAGCATTAAATTAGGCAGGGTCTGTCGCACTATGCGACGTTGGAGCGGCAGCTGATT